CTGTTTAAGCCTCTGACAACAGCAACATCTCTCACATTTTGATAGCTCCATATAAACCGTGGCTTCAGAGGGCTCATGCACTCCTTGTTATCTTTTTACCTCATTTGCCCGAAGAGGAGGAAAAGGAGGAGAACTTTAGAGGCCCTGAAATCTGCCCTCTCTTTGTAGTAATCAGACTCCGATTATCAAAGGCACGCATGCAATCACGGCCATCTCAGAATGAAACGAGATGCTTTCATGTGAGCGAGTGGATTTTTGCCCAGATGTCACTCAAAGCACTTGTCATTGTTGCAACAGCTGTCGAAGCACATGGGACGTCATTTGGAAACCACAACATGCCAAAGCAGCACATGTCAAATATGAAACATACACAGCCTGGAACATAAGATTTCTGAATATTAATGCCATAAGCTCCTTATGGAATTGCCATTTTAATTACCTATCTGTTCTGTTTTATTGGTCGGCATGTGCGGTCCCTGTAATTGCATATTTACCCGCCATACAATATTTACATGTTAGCGTTAGCTGAGCCTTATATTACAAATATTTCTGATGTTGAAATGCATAACGACAGATAGAAATGAATAATTTCCTAAAAAGGATTACAGTGTACACATGTGGCTCATAGATATTGCTTCAATTATCTTTTCTTCTTACGCCCCCACACTCTCTCCAAAGGCTTTTCTCACAAATATTATAACTGCTAACTAGAGGCGGAGGGTGAAGCAGAGCCATGTGCTGCGCAGCAGCAGCAGCAACATCGTTGTTGCATTTATGTGTCTCTTTTAAATGCTTTGATATGAAATATTACTGTTTTGACAGGATGTTTTTCAAGCTGCTCTTGTCTCTGCGAGATGCCTCCTGCTTGTCAGTGATTGAGCGTTCCCGAGGAGAAAAAGTCAATATGTGGTCATAAATAAAGGAAAACAAATGCGAGACCTGAACCCTCAATGAATAGAAAAGACGAAGGGAGGTGAAAGAGATGACACATTTACATTAAATGATTATAAAAACCGCTTCTTGACTGCGAGAGCTAATTGTTTCGACTTTGTGTGTGTGTGTGTGTGTGTGTGTGTGTGTGTGTGTGTGTGTGTGTGTGTGTGTGTGTGTGTGTGTGTGTGTGTTTTGGGGGGGTGAATTGACATGTTGGCATTGCTGTGAAGTTGATGCAAAGCACAGAGAGGGTTCCCTCCAGGGACCGGTAACCTTACTGTTCCATGTCATCTCCTCCCCTTCTATTTGAGGAGCAGGTTGTCAACCTCTCCCCAAGGTCACGCCAACACCAGCCCGCCTTCTGCACATAATTGGATTATTTAGTATCTTAAAATCAACTTATTGGCCCCCGTCTGGGATCAGAAGTGGACTTCTTGATCTAGATCATCTGTCATGATTTGTGGCATCGTTCGGAGCTGACACGCAACAGCTTCTGTCATCAGTTAACACATCATAGAGTGGCCTATTTAGTACAAATCACATGTGGGACATCACTGTGTGTCTTCTGCTTACGATTTCAATGCAGCTGCTTTTTTAAAAAAGAGGGCAGTAGTTTGGACGAATTTGTGTGAAATACAGCAAACCCGTAGCTAACAGATACTTATTTATTTTGTGAAAAAGATGGCAAAAAGGACACTTTGATTATAGGTGAATGAAACCCCAACGGGGTCCCAGGAGCATGCTTTTCTTGACTCTTCAGACTTTCTTACTGTAGTTTTTACCAACAAATACCAACAAATGCATGGGATGAATCTGGGTCAGACCTTATGGTGAGGTTACAGGAGTTTGCCATGTCATGCCATATGGTTACCAAAGGTAACCTGACCTGCCAGATGGCCTGTTCCACACAACCATCTGGGAGGTCCTCTGAAGAAATTGATTGGAAACAGGAAGTCCATTTGAGAGAATAGGAGGTTATTGAACCAAGCATTCAAAATCAGCACTGAAAACTCATTAGTGAAAGTTACAAATGATATTCTCATATGGCTCTCACATAAGAATCTTGTGTCTGTTCTAGTCTTGTTAGATCTAAGTGCTGCTTTTGACACAGTTTATCACAATGTTCTTTTAGAAAGGCTTGGACATGTTGTAGGGAACAAAGGAACCGCGCTAGGCTGGTTTAAATTCTGTCTGTCTGATAGATTTCATTTTGTTAATGGACAAATCCTCTTCATACTCTAGGGCAGTGTTTCCCAACCCTGGTCCTCAGGGCACAATATCCTGTATCTTTTCCATGTTGCCCTTTTAAACACCAGTGTTTCCCCGCTGCCACACATCTGACTTAAATGAATGAGTGATTAACAGGCATTAGCAGCACTTGATGTACTCCTGTGGAGGCAATGTAAATCTGGTGTGCTGAAGCAGAGGTATGGATAACATGCAAGTCAGTGTACCCTGAGGACCAGGGTTGGGAAACACTGTTCTGGGGTTACTTGTGGAGTTCCACAGGGTTCAGTTATTGGACCAATTCTTTTCACTACATATATGGTTCCAATTGGTAAAATCATTAGACAGCATGGGCATAATCTTTCACTGTTATGCTGACAATAGTCAGTTGTAGTTATCCATAAATCCTGATGAACCTAATCAGTTAGGTAGATTACAGGCTTGTCTTGAAGGTACAAAAAAATTTAATGACTCTAAACTTTCTGCTTTTAAATCAAGACAAGACTGAAGTTCTCATCTTTGGACCAGAACTTCAGAAGAGGAAACTGCTTTGTCAATCACCTGACCTGAACGGCATTAAATTAGTGTCTGAGAACAAAGTAAAGAAACTTGGTGTTATCTTTGACCAGGACATGTCATTCAAATCCCAGGTTAAACTGATTTGTAGGATTTCCTTCTTCCACCTCCAGAATATTGCTAAGATTAGAAGCATCCTTTCCAGGAGTGATGCTAAAAAAGTAGTTCATGCATTTATTCCATCAAAACTGGATTACTGTAATTCATTACTATCAGGAAGTCCACAGAATGTATTTAAAAATCTTCAGCTTGTCTGAACTGCTGCAGCTATTTCTGATGAGAATTAAAAAGTTCATCTCTCCTATTTTAGCTTCCCTATATTGGTTGTCATAATTTAGCGCTATATAAATAAACTGCATTGAATTGAATATCACAGCAGTAATTTGCTAAATCAAAGAAGTGCAAATAATTGGTGATAGCTCAATATGATAAGGGTGGTAATATCCTGTAATCACCTGATTTAGTAATAGTGACACTAAGCAGAATAATTTACCCAGAAATAAACTTGTATCACATATCCTGAAACTATTTTTATGACGATAAAGAATGATAAAGGATGATGTGTGGAAAATAATTCTGCCTTCCATCAAAAATGACATTTGCTTGCTTTTAGTAATGGTAAAAACAATCAAATTGTCAGCTTTTGTTAGCAGTGAAAACTTGTGGTAGTTTGACCACAAGTGTGTATTTAAAGACGCATGGTCTAAAATGAATGCCTTGTGAGTCTATCCCTGTGGGGCAAAAAGCTCTGGCACTCCTGTTTCAGGAAGTAGTAGTCAGCTGGAGCAGAGAGGGGCAGAAGATGGCAGGATTTCTTGATAATTGAACATTTTGCTTCCGATTGGTTAACAGCAACACAACTCTACCACTGACTCTGTTTACCTTGCAGCATTGATGTTTTATCTCCGCAAATAACTCAAGACTGAAGGAGTTCAGCTGTGTGGTGGAGTTGCTAATGCTAACAGTTAGCTTCTACTAGTCGTTCTCTGCTGTTTTCTGGACACTAAACCAACAACAGCCTTCGCCATTGTGAGTCAAGATGATTGAGTCCATGAATCTTAAGTGACAGTGTGAGGTAGATCTGTGTGGCTTTTTTTATTTCAAGCGTTTACCTGTCTATTTTCTATCAGCAGCTAATGCAGGAAACAGGGGTTAGAAGACTACTTTCACATTCAGCCTGCATGTGAATCTCAGAGTGACCAATTAATCGTATTTCTAAAACAAGCAAAAAACTTTTTTTGTGTGAACTTTCTCTTTAAAGGGACCGAGTCCCAATGTTTCCAGTTAATAATGTGCACGTGCTCACCTAATAGTCACTAATAACTAAACTGGTCATTATTTTATTCCTGTTAAGAGACAAATTATCAATAAATATGGAGCAGTTACAGAACATCTTTTAAAGTAGGCTGATGTTGGGAAAGTTGATGGTGGTTTTGAAAACATCCTCAGTTTATCACATAAAAAATAAAAAATAACAGTTTCCTGTACCTTTTCTAAACTGAAGTTGAAAGCACCATGAATATGTTTTGACATAGCAAACATGTAACTCACATGACTGATCGCATTAATTAGCAGCTGCTTCCACTTAAAGATGAGAAACACAGCCGATACTTGCTATCATGAAAGAACACTTTGCAAAACTCGAAGACTTATCTCCATTTATTTCTCCTTTAAAGAATGAACTGAAAGGATCCTCCTGTTTTTTGACATTTTGTTTCTGGTCAGCTATGGCAAATCTTCTGCAAAAAAAAAATAAAATTACGAGTTCTTCTCAAACACTTTATTTGGCTGGTCAAAATGGTGAAAATATATTTTTGATTATGAAGTTTGCTCAATTTGCCAGTGATTAAAGTTGAATAGATGATTGTTTGAGTGTGTAACATACGCCTGTAAGGAGACTACAGCGGTATAGTAGCCGTTAAGTGCCTACAGCGATGGGGATTCCCACATACCAGCACATATTCATGGTTTCTGTGGTTGTTTCAAGCCTGGGGGCTGATGTAGCGTTATCTCATGCTGCTGTGGTAAGATGAGATGATGGCGGGTAATAGTTTAAATGGGTGGGCTGCCTGCCTATTAAATCAGGAGCTGGCAGAGTAACACTAACTCAGGTTACTTATTCTCTAGTGACATGTGAGGAGCAAAGGGAAGCAAGATGTCTTCACTTTACATCTGTGGTTTGACATTGTGCTCTGTTTGTGACTCTGCAATTACCTGCTTATTTACATGTGTGTGTGCGTGTGTGTTTGTTTTATTTTTTCCAGGAGGCAGCCACATTTGCCAAAGAGCTGGGCTTTGAGGTGAGTTGACCAGCAATTGCGCAGTAAAAAAGATCCTAAAGGTTTATTTTTGCTGATAATGAAGTTCTTTTTGGACAGTGATTGATGTGCTATTATACTCTCCAGGCCTTGCAGCAGTTGCTATGGAAACCTGGCAGTCGTCATGGTTTCTTTGTTCAGCCAGCTCTCTGTTATGACGCACTCTGCTAGGTCTGCACCCAACATCGCCTACAGATGTTATTTATTGAATTTTGAAAAGCCTCTTGGGAAGCCGAGAAGTTGGGCATGGTTTCAAGCCTTTCTCTGCAGGCTTGGAGCTCATCAGGTTGCCAGGTTAAAAAGCATCCTCATTATCTTCATTGCACTCAGGGATGTTACTGCATGTCTTTTCTTCACAGCTAGAACATTACACCACATCCACATACTCTGTAGTCCTTTAATGATCAAATTAAAGCCACTCGTGGTTTCAGATTATGGAAATAAAGATCACGGTGCCTGTCCCTCCCTAGAATGTGCGTCTTAAACCGGCTCCTAAGAGTAAAATAGGTATTCCTTTAGTTTATTTCTTGCTGGTATTTTTGCATATTTTCTGCATCTCTATTTAGGCACAAAAATCTAAAACACAAATAGCCAGTGTGCGTTGTTGTTTTCTTGTTTGAAATGGTCTCAGGTATTTTAAGTGCCATCTCTCTTTCAGAGGCAGAGCTGCCTTGAATATGGCTCTGCTCTGTGTGAATAATTGTCATCCAGAATCACTAACAGTGTGATCAACGTGACTGGAATAGAAATGCAACCCTGATGGCAGTGACAGGTTTAAGAGAGGAGAAGGGATGAAAGCAGGAAGGTGGGGTGGGGGGGTAATGGAGGGGCCTCACATGAAAAAAAAAATATCTGAAAGGGCAAAGTGAAGACTCTGCTAGTAGTTACAATTCTTTGACATTTTCTGTGTCAACTTGATTTGGCAGAACACTGTGAAATTGCATTGGATGAAGGTGATTTTTTTTTTCAGATAACACCAGCCGTGTGTACTGTACCCCCATCTCTGGGTTGAAAGATGTTTTCTTCACACTTGTTTTTCCTTACTCTTGTCACTTTCTGACAAAAATTATACTTACTTTTTTCAAACTGCGTCCCATAAAATGCTTTATGCTAACGACTTTAGAATATTGGTACATCAGGTACAGGAAGTTTGATGAAAAGTGAAAAATAGTGTGACTTTAAGACAATGCACTGGTAAGATGAACATATTTTCATTCATCTTTTAATCATTAACTGATAACCAGGAACTAATTGTAACTACTTAATTATTTTGCAAAAGTCGGTTTTAGATTCCGATTTGTGATTCTGACGTTCTCTTGAGATGTCATTTCACTAATTGGCCAGTTCGTTCAAACGAATCCGTTTGAAAGCATGCAAATATTTCTTACTGTTCCTGCTTGAATTTAAAACTTGAGTTTACAGTAAAACATGGTATCACTTTACGATAAGGGTTCCTTTAACAACGTTAGTTAGTGCATTATTAAACATTAATAAACAAAGGGTCCCTTTATTAACATTATTTAGTGCATTATTAACAGCAGTAGCTCAGAAGGTAGAGCGGGTTGTCCAGTAATCGGAAGGTTGCAAGTTCAATCCCAGCTCTGACCAGAGAATGCTGCTGTTGTGTCCTTGGGCATGGCACTTAACCCCCCTTGCCTGCTGGTGGTTGGAGGGACCGGTGGTGCCAGTGTTCGGCAGCCTCTCCTCTGTCAGTGTGCCCCAGGGCAGCTGTGGCTACAATGTAGCTCATCCTCACCGGTATGTGAATATGTGTGTGAATGAGTGAATGACTGATTGTGTTGTGAAGCGCCTTGAGGGGTTGCAAAACCCTAAGATGCTTCTACACAATTACAAGCCATTTACCATTTTTAAGTATGAATAAACAAAGGGTCCCTTTATTAATGTTACTTAGTGCATTATTATACATTAATAAACAAAGAAGAAGACATTTATCTATAAAGCACTTTTCACAAACACAAGTCACAAAGTGATCAGCAAATAACATTACTTAGTGCATTATTAAATATTATTAGACAAAGGGACCCTTTATTAATGTAACTTAGTGCATTATTAAACATTATTAAACAAAGGGTCCCTTTATTAATGTTACATAGTGCATTATTAAACATTATTTAACAAATGGTCCCTTTATTAATGTTACTTAGTGTATAATTAAGCATTAATAAACAAATGGTCTCTAATATAAATTAACCACTTAGCTAAAGTCTGTTTTCGAAGCAGAAAAGAAATTAAATCACTTTATAAACAGTTAAAATAAAAATCGGACTAATTGCAGTACCAGAAAAAACACTAGTGCACATGTTTTTTTTCATTTATTTCTGAATCTCATAAAGACAATAATGTCATTTCCCAGTGAGCCTCTTGCAAATTTGCTAATTAAGCGATTTCAGGGAAACCATAATTAAATATTCTCAATATCTAACCCTCAAACAGAGCGTGATGTACTTCTGATGTATTCCGAAACACTGTTATCATCGCATTATGGATGACTAACACAAATGACAGCCTCACTTCCTCAGTATAAATACAAGATAAAGAGCTTGTCCCCTTCAACACAGCAATCAGCAGATCTGAACACAGTCGCCTGATTGTGATCAGTTTCCTTTAAATGCTCAAAGAACTCTCTGCATCACAGCACTAATTGAATCTCTCCCTCGCAGTATTTTTCAGGCAGCCTGCAGTGGAGATTATCAGTTTCTCACTGGCTTCAACAGAGAAACACAATTTAACACCCTTGTAAAGCTTTCATATTTCACGCTTTGTTGATTTATGTCTGATCAGTCACCTCACAATCGTAAATATTGCCATTTGTCAGCAGTAAAGCGAATCGACCGTATCATTTGTCAATCCGTTAGTTTTTGCACGCGTTCTGAACGCTACGTTTCCCGTGTTGTTTGGCTCTATAGGAAGTTGTCAGGTGAGTGTTTCTGACAGGGAGGAAGGAGCATGCTGCCTACGTGTGTGGTTACCTGTGTTTGTGTGTTGCGATGCTCACTCTGCCACCTCTGGCCCTGAGAACCTTTCAGCTCCTAAACCTGAGTAGAGTTCCTTTTTTATGTCAGTGAACATAAAACCTGAGGGTGACAATGTGCCGGAGCCTTGTGTGGCTTTGCATTCAGTGTCTGGAAGAGTGCTTGTGGTTACATGCAGTCACAGTGACAAATTGCTCTTTTTTCACCATCCCCTGCTAACAGCCTCTGTATTAACCTCACTATTAGCACTTTCTTAGAGTGTTACACTCATTTTTCCTCAGCCCTAGGTCTCCCCGGACCTCTTAGGGTTGATTAAAGGACGTTTGGGAAGCATTTAGAGGTGTAAAAGCTCATTGGTTTGAGTGAGCCAGAGTGGCTGGTCGTATTTGGCCTATCTTTCTGATTACTCCCATAATCACCGCATTTGCTGTCCCTAAAGTTGCTCAAGTGTTAGCTTTGATACAGATGCTCAATGCCATCCGTGATCCCTAATTCTGGCTGCTTAATGTGCTGCATTACAGAAAAAATAAAACAGTCCACCCTGCTGCAAGACAGAGATAAAGACATTCTACCTGCTTATAGCACATCATGATGAGTTAATAATAAAGTAGCACTGACAGGTGTGTATTTTTTTTTATCCCTCTCATGATCAAAGGCAAGCACTCCGGAGAGCTTTGTCGTCTCCAGGCGAGAATATCCATTCTGTGCAGATGCTGAGGAGAGATGGCCTGTTTCAGGAGAAGGATACAGTACACGCACCACCTCTCCCTTTGGCTTGCACAAGTAGCTTTATCTGACAACAGCACACCTTCCCTCTTATTTTCGTCTCACTTAGGGAATATGACATTCTAATATTTTCCAGCCCTCCTGTAACTACACGGAAGCATCTTCGAGTCTTATTGATCCATCTCAAAGCAGCCCATCTGGTTTTATTATCACTTGATCTGTCTGCCCACTCTGGAAAAGAACCTCGACCCATCTCATGATCTTCGATTGACCACTCAGATTCTGCCCATCGAGATACATTTATTCAACTTGACATGCTCACCCTGGTGTTTCCATAGACAGATGACATTGCAGCGATCGCAAACAAGACCCAAAACCTCCCCAAGGAGAACGTAAAGAGGCAGCGAGTGGTGGTCTTCACTCAGGGCAAGGATGACACCATTGCAACTGTTGGTAGGTCACTCTCGTTTCCTGTGTTTTGTCTGCTTATTCACAAATGTCCCCTTCTAAGTAATCCCTCATTTTGACCCCCTTTGGACATATTTACCCTTCACTTAAACCGTACAACATGAAACTGAAGAGTTAAATAAATGCTTGTTGACTGGAGGGAGCAGAATGTTATCAGTTATTTTCTTTGAAGTTCAGCTCCGATATTGACACCAGATGTTTCTTAAAAAAAGAGGGAGAATGCTTGCACTACATTCTGTCATCTCAGAGCATAAAAGAAGTGTGGGGGATGCAGAGAGCCGGCATTGATTTGTGAAGCACTTCTAACTTTGTCTTGGACAGACTCCAGGCTGGTCCTCAGCAATTTTAATGCTTCAACTCTTAACATCATGTCCCCCCTTTGTCTTGTTAAAGAAAAATAAAATCTCCTTGCAAAATGCTAGCAAAGCCACCTTGGGGAGAAGTTGACAGAGCTTCAAATCAATCTACATTTTTTTTTATACAGAGCATATTTAGTAGTAGGACATTAAAAAGGCAGTGTCATCATAACTGAGCTTGGGTTGAGGGGTTTAAGCAGGAGAGACAGTAGTTTTCGATTACTGCTGGGAGCCTTTGACTTTGTTTGGAGCCACAGGGTGTCTCTTCTCATTGCCCTTGTGGTTTAGTTCAGACTATCAGAGCACAGGGAGAGAGGGCCCTCAGGTAAAGACTCCATCATATCAATCATCACTGGCTTCTGCAGACAGCCTCCACTACCAAAGCAACTTAGATGTGTTCATAAGTGTGCTGTATCAATCCATCATGTCATGTTGCATTGCATTGTATTTGGAGATGCACCCTCATTACCCCAAAGCAAGTATTAAGTACAAGAACTGATGGATTACCTGCTGAGTACCGATAACAGTGGATGTTGTTGACCTAAGTCACGGTTTTGTTCAGGTTAAGTATTAAAGGGGATAAAAGCCATCTCTTTCTAAACAAACAATCATTTTAATCTGATGAAACTTAGACTTGCTCGTGTCTTCCAGAGTCTGCAGCAGAGTAAGATGCTGCTGCAGCTCAACTGAGAGCTGAGCGTCACGCTACGTAAAGTGGTAACGCTCCAGTGGTGCCACTGGTATAGTATAGCTATAAATATATTGTGGTGATTAAAAATAAAATGAAAATAATTAAAGAAGTGAATCTCTCACATTTGTCTTAAAACCTCCACCAATTGTACATTGGGGACATGAAACAACCATTAGACCATCCGGTTGTCGGTCTCACCAAACCGCTGCACTTCCCTGGGTCCTCCACTTATTCCACACTCATGTATTTAGCAACAGAACATAACTGGTGTGGTTCTCCACTCAATAATATCAGATGGAGGAACAGCCGGCTGCTACCACTTCAACTTTAGGACAAACTACCAGAGTCCCAAAACGAAAAGCACCATTTGAAGTCACGGACAACAAAAGATGTTTGAATAAAGCAACTGGTTCTCGTTTCCTCTGGGAATATGGGTTTACAACAGTTCTGGCGGAAGCGTCTCAGGAAAGATCCCCGAGGGGGAGGGGTGGGTGTTCTCTCTGTGTGTGTGTGTGTGTGTGTGTGTGTGTGTGTGTGTGTGTGTGTGTGTGTGTGTGTGTGTGTGTGTGTGTGTGTGTGTGTGTGTGTGTTGCAGTCAAAACCTAGCTTGTTCTGTGGATTCACTATAGCAGCTCCTACTTTATCATAAGCCATCATATCATGTTGTTTTGTATTGCATATGTTTGTGTCATCTTATAGCTTTTTAAAATCATATCTCGTTGCATTTCATCCCATCATACAGCATAGTATTCTTTTTCATTGTGTCATATTACTTTGTATACTATTTTCATTCTTTGATAACTAAAACTCAAGGTACTTTGTTTGTATTTTTGATATCATGCACTTAGTTTAAGTCAGCTGACAGAGAATTCCCCAGAATAAGATCAGAAGAAAGTCAACAGAAGGGAGATTGATTCAGACACGAGTTAAATAAGATCAATGAGGATGTCAATTAGTTAAAGTATAAACATTCAATCATTCAGACATGAGATCAAATTTGCATTCATTCAAATGTTCCCACAACAGAGCTGGTGAAATCTAGGTCTCCTGCACCACATTTACCAGTATACATAGGGAGGCATAAACAACAACCGTGTGTTTGTGTGAAATTTGAAGTTAAATAAAAAGAAAATAATTAGGTAATTTGTCTGCATTATGGAAAAGTTTGGTTTGCTTTTTCTTACAGTAATGAGCACTGTTATTGACTGGAGAAAACCTTATTTTTCACTTCCCCTGGGGATCTCTATTGTATTGTTTTTTTGTTGTTTTGTTTTTTTGTCTGAGAAGAGATGCTGCATCTTCAGTCTGACTAAAAATGCTGTTGCAAGCATACTTGTTTTCTGTGTATTTGGCTCAAGTGCTGTAAAATTTATGCTTAGAAGCGGCACAAAAATGGTGTGGAAAAGTAGTAAAAATATGTAGGGAAAATGCACCAAAGGTCCTATAAAAACTACTTTTAAAGGACATTTAGAAAATTTTAAGAAATTTTGACAAGCGCTTTAAAAATCTCAAGTTAGTCTTGCTGTTGGAAGGCAAAATATAAAAAGTCAAGAGTGAGTCAAATAGGCCATGAGCTTCTTAGAATCTGAGTGAATTTTGATTTGATACAACTTTTAAAATTTCTATGAAATTATAAACTTACGCCAGCCATATGGTTTAGTGTTACACTCACTGGACACTAGGGGCTGCATGACTTAATTTCTTTAAAGTTGTCAGCCAAGTATTGAAAATCGAGTCGACTTTGACTAGTCGTTGATGATGTCATACACCTGAAGCGGGCTGGTTCGCTGGAGTTGTTGACATTTGAAATTGCGTCCACATTTTCTAAGTTAACACATTTCTTTTAACAATGGTAGTTTCTGCATCTTTACTGTTCCCCTGCTTCAGCTCTCTCCCCCCTCCCCCTGCACAGTGGCCGCAAACTCCGTGATGCGCCTGCAGCCTCTCAGAGTTCCTGCTGCTCTAAATATTAAAATAATTATTTCATTTTCTGTTCCTCACTCCTGATTACCTTCAATGGTGTCTGTTTGTTGCAACCACCAGGTACAAAAACTAACTTGTTTTTATTTGACTATTTTTCTGTCCTGTCTGTTTATTATCTTCCTGCATCTCCTCTCAATCCTAAAGAAAAACTGCTACCTGGGTTCATTTATATTCACCTTATGAGTTACCTTTGAACTGCAGTTCTAAAAGATCTACCGACCGCAAAAACAGCGGAGTGCGAGCTGGCCGCACCAGTGAGGTGAAGTCACCGGAGGACAAAACAGGTGATGCGCTCCGCTCCACAGCAGCGAAACGCATCAGGCACAAATAAAAGGCAGAAAACATAAAAGGAAATGAGCCGACATGAACAATCACGTGTTAAATTAGTTTTTGAGGTGGTGACACCTAATTTGATAATGTTACTGTGGCCGTGCTCAGGACGCAGATGTCTGGAGCACGTCAACGATCAGAGCTTTGCATGTGCAAGCTGGTTAATGTTAGGATGGGGGTGAGGGGAAGGTAAATTGCAAGAGGGTAAAGGTCACAATTCAGTCAAATGTCCATTTTACGGCGGGCGTCAGATACCGACGCTCTGGCACAGCGCGTCGGTATCTGATGTGCAGGGGCTCGTCACCTGCTGTCTTTTCCGAGGACTCAGTCTTGTCGGTCATTATCACGTAACAGCGACTAGTCTATGAAAGGCATAAAAAGTCACTACAGAGCAGTGAAGTCGACTAGTTGATGCAACCCCTACTGGACACACACACACACACACACACACACACACACACACACACACACACACACAGAAGTGGTCTTGATAAGTAGCTGTGACATGCAAAGAAAAATGTCAGCAGTGTATCCTGATACAACAACACTCGTCAACTGTCCTGCAGCAGCTGGCTCATGCACTTGCAGTGAAAACAATAGACGCTGGTGTTGTCATTATGCAAATATGCTGCTGCTTTGTTTGGGACTATAAATACGTGATGAAAAGCGACTAGCTTTATAGGAGTGTTACTGGCTTTGTGCCAGCTGTATTTGAGTTGTGCACTTACCTCCCAGAGTTTCTTGTTGTTAGACTTCTTGACAGGATGGCTGAGGAAACATTTGTTCAAGTTTTATAATGACCAGATTCAATAAACTCAGACGAAAAATTGTACAAAAAGAAACGACTAACCGAGCAAACTCAGGACTGCAAACTGCAACATAAGCTGTGTTTTTCTGCTATGAACTCAATTTCTTTGTGGTTGGATGATTTCACTTGGCAAGTTTATTGCTCCACTTTAAATGCAGACATGGGTAAATCCACAGTATTTACTGAGATAACTGAAACCGACAAATCAATGTTGAAAACAAATGTTACTTATGAAAATCGGACTGATTTTAGGTTGTTGTTCACCAAAGTGAAAATGGAAATGAATTGGCATGGACAAAATTTATAAGACAAAACAACTGTGACCAAAGAAACATTTTAAACTAGGATGTGTCCTGTAATTAGTATCACAGGTATCTTCAATCTTGTGGTAGTCCTTCTTTGTTACGTTCATTCTGTTGTTTATCCAATGAAATTTTTTGTGACTCTTCATTATACACGGAGTAAACTGAGCTTGTTTTAACCTTTGCCAGCATGTTTGTGTCCACTGCCGCTTTCGTCAAAGCAACCACCGATGCAGGTGGCGTCACTGCCGTTTACCTACAGACAGCAGAAGACGATATCGCCTTCCACTGCCCGTGCCTTCTCCGTTGATCACTAAGTCCCATTAGGGGTCCAGCGTGTATACTCCTTCATCCCTGTTCATGGTCCTGGATCCACACCTTCTTAACTCAATCGCTTCTTTAACTCTTTGATGCATGAATTATGAAATCTTCAACCATGATTTTTTAAACCATTTTTTTCATTCATCTTTAGGTGTGAATGAAACAAATTTCAACAAATATTTTTGTAACATTTA